CTCCTGTCTTCAGCTCCAGGCTGGCCCTGCCTTTCACTTCACAGTGTTTTTCCTAAGGAGAAGTGGGAGAAATTTCCATAGGATCTTTGCCCATCCTTTTTCCGTAAACTGGGGAGACTATACTAATGATTCCAGCCTCCTCACTGGTCTTTAGGATTCCTGGTTTTGTCCCCACCATATGTTCCCAGCGTATTTTCTCCCGCGGGGCCTTCACCCAAGCGTCCATGCCCCGTTTTCATTCATTATCCCCTGGGTGCTGATGCTCTGTGCTAGGAAGTGAGGACCCAGCTGACAAGCTCGCCATCGTGCCTGCCACAGAGAGCTCACAGCCTAGGGTTGGGGTCAGATGCTTTACCGGAAGTTTGAAAAGTACTTCATGACTTAAGATTGTTTAGGAGTGTGTTGCTTAATCACCAAATGGTTGAAGATTTCCTGCTATTCTTCTGTTCTTTTGGAGTGATTCCACGAGAGCCAGAGAACATACATTGTACAAGGTCACTCACTTCACACTTGTGGAGATTGGCTGTTGGACCCCTCCAGTCTCACTCTTCTGGCAATGGACCAGCACGCCCAGTGCCTTCAGCTCCAGGTCAGCCCTGGCTGGTGACCACACACTGTCCTGCTCCCCACGGAGCTCCTCCACCATCAGTGCTGGGCCTGGAGCCAGGGACGACCAGTGTCCCTCTCTCTGGACAATGCTCCAGTCTTCTGTCTCCACGCCACCTCATCCAGTCCTGCCTCAGGGCTTCGGCACCCCTCCACGCCCAGAGACCCACTGGAGGTCTCCCCGGGGACGCATGCCTCCATCGCACCGTGCACAGCCGCAGCTTCCTTCCTCAGCTGCACCGCCGAGCGATGCTGGGAACGTTCAGTGTTTCCCTGCCTGGGTTTTAACCAAGATGGGCTTCCTCCCTGCTTGTCAAAAGTCACCCATGATGGTCCCTCTAAGCAAATAGGAGTTTCATCTGCATTCCCACCTTAACACCTTGGAGTCCTGTGTCCCCCCCGAACCAGGACACTTCACTGGACAGGGGTGAGCTTCCCAGTGTCTTCAGGAAGTGCTGAGGCCTAGGTGCCCGAGTCACACCTTCTCATCCCCCTCAGGCTACTTTGAATCCTTCTTCAATGTCCATACCCTGGGCAATTTTGAGGCCTATCGGCTGTGTCTCTTTCCCTGGAGTAGGGTCCCCTTTCAACCTCATGGATCTGACATATTTGGCCTTGGGATTGTCCACTGGAGTAAAACTCCAATTCTTGGGCCTCCCATGCCTGCCACTCCATGAGGGCATTCAGGAGTCCTGGG